ACTGCCATCGGCTGAATTTCTTGGTGCCAATATTCTAATTAGAACCCCATGGCTCTGCTGGGGAATTCTGGGAATTGAAGTCCACAAAGCTCGAAGTTGCCCAGGTTGAGAAACACTGGAGTAGAAGTTTCATGAGATGGGAATTTTTCTACATGGACCATATTTGCAGGCTGGCATCGTTTAGGGCAGGGGTAGGCAACCTTGGCTCTTTTGTGACTCGTGGACTTCAACTCCCAGAATTCCTGAGCCAGCCACGCTGAGGGGAAAGGGAGAGGTTGCCATGCTGAGCCATGCTGGCTCAGGAATTCTGGGAATTGAAGTCCATGAATCAAAAAAGGGCCGAGTTTGAAGATCCCTGGACTAGACAATCACCTGTCTGAGATGGTATAGGCCAGGGATAGGCAACCTTGGCTCTTTTATGACTCATGGACTTCAACTCCCAGAATTCCTGAGCCAGCCAAGGTCGCTCAGGAATTCTGGGAGTTGCAATCCACGAGTCATAAAAGAGCCAAGGTTGCCTACCCCTGGTATAGGCTCTCCTGATTGAGCAGGGGGCCAGACTAGATGACCTCCAAGACCTTCCACCTCTATTCTATTCTATTCTATTCTATTCTATTCTATTATAATTATTTTTCTTTCTACAATATAAATGTAGACCAAAAACAACATCCATGGAGTTTTATTGGCAATAATATGGAAAAAGTTTGCCTAGGGTTTTTCTAAGTGGGTTTTTCTTTTAGCCGACACCCTGGGGATTTGGGGGGGATTTTCCCACTCAAGGACTAACCAGATCTGACTTTGTATCACTTCCTGAGATCAACCAAGGTTAACTTTGCTGACCACGGGGCTTCTCTGTGTTAAGACCCTGGCTCTTGGCCTGCCATTGTGAGGTCTACTTAGTTCATCCTTTTGCATGTTTTTGGCACCAGGCCAAGCCATGATATTCTCTCCCATTAAAATTTTATTTTAAATTAAAAGAATTATTTATTTTCCCAAATTAAAAAGAAGCCATTTTACCATATTAAAAGGTGCACTGTTCCAAATGCGGCAAATACCTTTCCATTTTATACCTTTTACTGTATTTGAATAACCCCTTTTTATATATACATAAAAATTGTCCAATTATGCTTGGAGCCACCCATCATCTTGAGCAAATGCATTAGCTACAATGATGAAAAATGTGTCTTACACCATTAATTTACATTTAATGGGGTTCAAAAAAAATCTATTACAGAAAAGAACAGGAATTAAAAATAAGATTGTTAATGTGGTGATTTAATTATTGTTAAAATAAACACATTCTAAACAAATCAACTTCTGCCGCCAGACGTCACATAAGGAAAGACAGCAGTCCTGGCACTGTCCGTCAGTCGAGCTTCATTTGCTACTACTGCGCATGTGCGATATCATCGGGCAAAATCGCGTTCCGAGGGAGAGGACGCCCGAAATCGCGGCGAGTCGTAGGGTCATTAAGTTTGTCCTTTCTGCCTCCCGTAGGTCTCTCTCTTCCCCCCCCTCCTTTCCTCCCTTTGGGATAACTATGGTGGAGCGGGCCGGGAGTTCCGCGGAGTCTCTTCGCTACGCGGAGTACGTAGCCCGGAACGCCGGCGGCGGCAGGAGCGACGGCGGCCGAGGGCCGGACATCAACCACGGCCTGGTCAGTGTCGGGGTTGCGGGACTGTCGTAGAGAGAACCGGCCTATCGTTTAAAGCGTGATAGTTGCCGGTCTCTTTTGAGCATGCGCAATCGTGTCTCTGAGGCGGCGTGTGGGCGCCTGGCAACGCATTTGCAGGTCGCTTTCTCTGCGCGCATGCGCAGAGGGTTTCCTTTCTGCCTCAGTTCTATGAACTCTTTGCTGCTGAAGTCCAAGAACAGAATTCTTCTATTAATAAATAAGAGTTATCTTATAATGGAGATCCATAGGAGATAATAGTATGATTTTAAGTATTTCAGATATAGTGTATTGTGGGTTTTTTTTAATTTTTAAGAAAGCAAAGCCAGGATCGGGTCTGGTTGAAAGGTGGATGGGAGACCACCAGGCAATGCCTAGATTGGGAAATTGACAAACATTCCCGAAGAAGGAGGTGGTGACCGTTCCTGCATGTTTGCATAAAAACGGTTCTGCTTAGGTGTTACCTGTGCTTGCATAGATCAAACACAATCCATTTTATAATGCAGTATGGTCATTGAAGCATTGTATTAAGCTTCACATGCACAAGAACCCATTGGATGTGTAGAATGGCTGTTGGCTTCCTTTTGCTTTCCTGATACCGTTATATAATTTTATTAAAGAAGTCGTAACAATTGGCACGTTTGGCTGGCCTCAGAGAGCAAAGCATGATCAGATATACTTCCCCTGTGTGTGGAGGCTTGACTGGGATATTAAAAAATCATCTCAGAAACTTTGAATTGTATCCAGGTCATATCTGGGACTAAAGGTCAGCTCAGATGATTTGACCCTTCCTTCCTTCCTTCCTTCCTTCCTTCCTTCCTTCCTTCCTTCCTTCCTTTCCCTTCCCTTCCCTCCCTCCCTCCCTCCCTCCCTCCTTCCCTCCCTCCCTCCCTCTCTTTCTTTCCATCATTTTCCTTTCATCTCATTCCTTCCTTTTTTTCTCTTTCTTTCTTTCTTTCTTTTTCTCTCTCTTTCTTTCTTTCTTCCTTTCCTTCCATCTCCTTCCCTACTTTCTTTCTTTTTTCTTTCTTTCTTTTTCTCTTTTTTCTCTTTCCTTCCATCTTCTTTCTCTCTCTCTCTTTCTTTTTTCTCTTTTTTCCATCTTTCTTTCTTTCTTTCTCTTTCCTTCCATCTCCTCCTTTCTTTCCTTCCCTCCTTTCTTTTTCTCTCTCTTTTCTCTTTCCTTCCATCTTCTCTCTCTCTCTTTCTTTCTTTCTTTCTCTTTTTTCTCTTTCCTTCCATCTCCTCCCTCCCTCCTTTCTTTCTTTCTTTCTTTCTTTCTTTCTTTCTTTCTTTCTTTCTTTCTTTCTTTCTTTCTTTCTTTCTTTCTTTCTTTCTTTCTTTCTTTCTTCCTTCCTTCCTTCCTTCCTTCCTTCCTTCCTTCCTTCTTTCTCTTTCTTTTTTCTTTCCTTCCATCTTCTTTCTTTCTTTCTTTCTTTCTTCCCTCCCTCCCTCCCTCCCTCCCTCCCTTTGTAGTCCTAATTTCAAGCAGGGAAAAAAAAAAGCTCCAGTTGATATATGCCTGAGGAGTTGCGTCAAGAGCCTGAATATTGTCTGTGATGTAACATTTGAACTTCCTGTTAAAACAAGCAGGACCTAAAATGATGCAATCGAAACAACCTGATTAATTTCATTTCTCCTTCTTTGCTCTGCCATTCTTTCCCTAATCATTGAGAACGTGCCACCGATTTCACTGGAAATGTTGCATTGTTTCATAGGGACATCTATACTTGAAAACAAGAAGTGTAGACATCCCAATGAAACAATGCAAAATTTCCAAAGTTTGCAAAGAGATTGTCTTGTTAATTTATTGCAAGGATAGCCAAAAAAAAAAAAAAGAGCTGGCAGAGGTGAATTCCAATCCACAGAAAAATTAACGATTAAAAATGGGTTAAACCCTTCAAATGCCTATAGGTTCTCCTGCTTGAGCAGGGGGCTGGACTAGAAGACCTCCAAGGTCCCTTCCAGCTCTATTCTGTTCTAAAAACAAGAAAATCCAGTTGCCTCCTGAAAGAGCATCTTTGGGACCTCTGCTTAAAACATTTTCTTTTACTGCTCCAGCATTCGTACCACATCCAGTAAAAAAATTCAGCCAGGCCCTAGTGTTTTCAGATCAATTCCTCCCCAGCCAGTTTGGACCCCAGCCAAATAAATTAAACTGCAAAGCCAGAAAATGAGCATGGAGAATAAAACACATGTCTCGTCCCGGATGCCACCTGAAGCAGAGCTCGGGCTGAGAATTATTTCCAAACAGTTGCAGAGAGCCATTTCATGTTTTTGGTTTTTATTTATCTTTTTTTTTTTTTAAGTTTGTGCTGTCAGCTCTTCACAGAAGCCAAGATTCCACTGATATGGAAAAGCATTCATTTATGTGCCCAGTGCTGAGTTTTTAATGCTCTCTGTTGTTCCATTTCTTTTTCCCTTTAAAGCTTAGAAATTTGATGTCCTTTCTTTGCCCTGAAAAGCTTCTAATTGAAGTTGTTTATGGAGAACTTACAGGCAATTTAGCATACGGTGTTTATTTCGTATAGCACACGGATTATTTATGTCTCCAGCAAGCCGATATTACAAGTTTACTCAAGGATTTGAAGAAAAAAAACGGCTTTGGAAAAATTTAAAGGGATCTCGGAGCTGTCAGCATTGCTGCCATAATAGCTGCGTGTGTTTCATGTAAATTCCTCAAGCGCTTTTTAGGATAATTGTCACCACATTTAATGTATATCTTCTGGCAGTAATATAAACACTATGCGGAAGGGTTCCGTTTTTATATTTCTGCAACTATGTAAAGAAATTCTCATGTCACCACTTTTAAACAACAACAAAATAAAATCCATTGGGCTACTTAATTTCTTTTTTTAAAGTTAGGAAAAGCAGCTTCAATCGAAATAATGGGATAAAAAGTGCTTGGTTTTTTTTTTACTTGTAGCAAAGTTTCTTCATTACAGTGGTAGTAAGGCTTTTTGTGATAATCTACCGTCGTGCCAGAATAATTAGTAAGGAACCGGGTAATGAAATGCCTGTCCCCAATTAAAATACGGTGAACGCATATTTTATGAACGCATACAAAGTTTTGGAAATGATTGACCGTGCACAAATGCATTAATCCACATTTTCTTATTTTATGAGTAAGGGGTGTCTTGTGGCTACTGTATAAAGCAAGTGGGTGCATCTCTGTTGAGAATAGCCAGTCCTTTTCAGCTGATGGGCACAGTTGCAATTTGAGAGAGAGTTGTCAGTACTTCCTAAAATTTATCTCGGAGAGCTATCCCAAATGTGCTTTTTCAAAAGGCCTCAGGTTTTGTTTTTCCTTGAAGACATTTCGCTTCTC